CATCTGCATCCTGTCTACCTTTAGAAATTCTAGCCCCACATATTCTGGATGCAAAATGATTCAAAACAAAAAAAAAATTCTGGGGCAAAAGATGGAAGCGCTAGTCTCCTGGGTGTTTATATAGTTTGGGAGGAGGAAGCAGGACCACGGAGCTAAAAGGGGCTGTTGAGAAGAGAGAAGCCTGAACTACAGGGGAAAGAGTGGAGAAGCCAAAGATGTATAAAGCAGGGATCCTATAAAGCAGAATAACCTGCTCTCTCAGGTCATGTCCAGATCCATTTTTCTTACAGGGTAGCTGTGAGCAGGAACAGTGAATGACCTTCAAACATGCCAGACACGTCTTCCAAATAACCTCCCCCCAACCAGCAACTCTAGCTTAGGTTTGGAAGTGCATTCACACTAAATTAAAAATGAGTGATATCAGATTAACAGTGGAAGGGAAAAAAAGAAGAGATGGGGCCCCAAAGTGGAATGTAGGCGAAAAAAGAAACTAAAAAGTTTACCAATATTGTAAACCCTCCTTTCACTTTCTCTCCACCTCTGTCTCTCACTCACTGTCTCCCTGTGACATACTCATAAATTCCCTATTTGATGTGCCTTCATGCTTCTTTATTTTCCAGAATCCTTCCTCCCTAATGCTAGAGCTGAATTACACCCTCAGAATCATATGAGAAAGTAAGTGGGAACAATGAATTTCCCTGGTCTTCCTTTAGCTAGGCAAGAATAATCATTTTGGCTTTTGAAATAAAACAGCTATTTGATTATATCAAGATCAGTTGCTGGGTCAGGAGAATTTTAAACCAGAATAATACAAATGACCTAAGTTTTCCTGGCTCATGATACTCGATACGACTAATTTTAGACAAAGTGATTTTTTAGCATTTTCAGCTTCAAATATAACAGATTCAAGATAACAGTCAATACTAAATTTGGATATTTTGTTACATTTGAGTTATAGTATTTTTAAAATAAGCTCATGTCTTAACTTATAGCCATCTGACTTTCAAGTGATTTTTCAACCAATTAAACCCACATTACCCACTGAGCCATTGAGGAAGCCCAATATGAATTTCCATATGATCCAGTAATTTCACTTCTAGGTATATATTTATATTTACATATCTGGGTATATATTTATGTATCCAAAAAATTGAAAGCAGTGTATCTAAGAGGCATCCATGTTCATAGCAGCACTAGTCACAATAGCCAAAAGATGAAAGCCTCCCTAATATCCAACAGATGAAAGGATAAACAAATGTGTATAAATACAGTGGAATATTATTCAGCCTTAGAAAAATAGGAAACTTTGACATGTTCTACATCACAGATGAACCTTGAGGACATTATGCTGAATGAAGTAAGCCAGCCATAAAATGACAAATACTGCATAATTCCACTTATATGAGGTTTCTAGAGTAGGCAGATCCATATATAGAGAAAGTAGAATGGTAGTGAGAAGACCAGGAATGCGGGAGCAGGGTGAGCTGGGGTTTAATGGGTATAAGAGTTTCAGTTTTGCAAGATGAAAAAGTTCTGGAGATGGGCTGTACAACAATGTGAATATACTGACTACTGAACTGTACACTTAAAAATGGTTGAGATGATAAATTTTATATATGTGCATTTTACCACAATTAAAAAAATACTTCTGCCAGTTGTAGCATCTGATGAAGTACATATCCACTGAAGTGGGACTTTCTAGAGTGTTTGATTCAATAGATAAATTCTGAAATGTTTATTTAAAATTAATTTCATTGCTTTATAGTCATTTGGGATATGCATTTCATTGAAATCACTGAAAATAATTGACAACCTGAAAGAATGTAGAGAAGTTACAATTCTATTCCATTCCTCACTGAACATTCAATATATATTAGTTGAGCACTTATTATAAGCTAAACTGGAGATAAATGGTGACTAAGACATTATCTCTATATCCTAGTAAAATTTAAAAATGCATGGACTTCCCTGTCAGACTAGAGGCAAAAGAATGAAAGTGAATTCCAACTAAAAGTTATAAAATTCACATTAAACAGAATACATAAAATGGGTTGCTAAGCTAAGAAAAGGGAAAATAATTTTAAGAATAAGGAAAATGGTAATGCAATTGAGAACAAAGGTGTATATGGGTATAATGGGATCAGAGTGTTAAGTTTTTCAATTTTTTTTTTAATGCAAGGAAAATAAAAATACCTATAGAAAGATTCTCTAAAAACTTAGCCATTCCAAAAAAAAAAACTTAGCCATTCCAGGAGAGGGTATTTCTAAACAACATGGCAGGATTTAGAACATCAGCAGAGGATCTTCCAGGAAATGAAAAAACATAGACAATATTCAATTATGGGATTCCTTGGTGGCTCAGACATTAAAGAATCTACCTGCAATACAGGAGACCCATGTTTGATCCCTGGGTTGGGAAGATCCCCTGGAGAAGGGAATAGCCACCCACTCCAGTATTTTTGCCGGGAGAATTCCATGGACAGACAGACCTGGCAGGCTATAGTCCATGTATGCTAAGTCAGTTCAGTCGTGTCTGACTCTTTGCAACCCTATGGACTGTAGCCCGCTAGGCTCCTCTGTCCATGGGGATTCTCCTAGCAAGAATACTAGAGTGGGTTGCCATTTCTGACTCCAGGGGATCTTCCTGACCCAGGGATCAAACCTATATCTCATGTCTCCTGCACTGGCAGGAAGGTTTTTACCACTAGCACCACGGGGAGGCCCATGGGGCCACAAACTTCACATTTAAAATCTAAAGTCTTGCAAGCAGTGTATATGTGAGGAATTTCATCTTAATTTTGCAGGCAATGAAGAAGCATCAGGGTTTTTTAAGGAAGACATTGACATAATTCATTTTGCGGCTTTTTATTTCACTTTGTAAAAATTATGAATGTCACCAAAAAGTAAGACCTATGTACCCACCACCTTTCCTAAGACTTAGACTACTACCATTATCTTTAATAAAGTTCTCTGTGGGCTCATCTTTGATCTTATCTTTTTTCTTACCCAGAGATCATAAATATACTGAATTTTGTGTTAATCATTCCCTTACTTTCATTAGTTTGGATGTATCCCTAAAGTTTATGTCATCAGGTACTATCTCAATTTGAACCCCATGTAATTGACTCTTTGTACATGTGTTCTTTGACAACTTACTTTTTCATGGACATGTTTTTGAGATTCATCTATGTTTACCTATATAGCTGTGATTCTATTGTCACTGTTAGTATTCCATTGAATGAATGAACCACAATTTATTTTATCATTCTACTCCAGTGGATATTTGAGCTGCATCCAGTTTTGCTGTTGTTACCAAGAATAATTCTGAGCTTTCTTGCATAAATTTCCATAAAACTTTCTTTAAAGCAAAGGTGGACATACTGTAGCTCACGGGCCAAATATGTATAACCCAAGAGTTACATTTTTTTTTAATTTTAAAAAAATCAAAAGAAGATTATTTGTGATATGTGAAAATAGGGAGTAGAGTCCATAGTAAAGTTCTTTGGAACACATCCCCATCCATTGTTTTACATATGGTCTATGGTTGCATTCATGCTGCAATGACAGGGCTGATATCTAAGTTATTCAGAATTTCCTCAAAGTGTAGTCACACCAACTATTCTGGGAGGCTTTTCTTGAGACAGTCTCTTCCTTTAATTCCTGTCAGTATTATTATAATGTGCCAGAACTTCAGATCTTGTCACATGAAACTTCTTACTCGTTACTTTTTACGAACTGCACTATTACATGCCTTTCTAACAAATGACAATATTTCATGACAAATGTAAAGTAGCTGCTGTACACATGGCTATTTTTGAGGTTGAAAATCACGACAATGTACTTCAGATGCTTCCTTGGTGACTGAAAGAATTTGCACAGCTTCTTAAAGGGCTAGATTTAAACAGGAAATAATTATAATGGGAAAATTTGCTAAAGCTGTTCATTTGCTTATTGGTTCAACAAGATTTTTCTAAAATGTATCTTAAGGAGTTTCATAAAATTTATTAACTTTTATCTTGTAATAAATATATCAACATATGTTTGTGTATCCTTACTATGGCCTTTGAATACATTAAACATTTTACCTCGGTATTTTTTCCAATTTTTGATGTAATCACCTTCCCATAGATGATATACAAGTTATCTTGAAGGAAATAATGAGTTTGTGCACATAACTGTACAAACTTCTACTAGAAGATGTAAAACTAGAATATACACTTCTTTGTCTTCCACCAACACCATTCAATCCTGACTGTTTTGTTGAAGAAACAAATTTAGCAAACTTTGAACACACAACCATAAAATACTGACCATATATATAAGAATAGAAAGCTGTTAAACAGCAGGTTTAAAGTTCTAATATCATCCCCCAAATAATTAATTTAAAAATTATTTATTTCACATACTTAATTTGCTGTTTGAAAATTTCATCAAACATTCCTGAAATCACACATTTGTGAAGCATTTGTAATTTCTTTTAAATAAAATATACAAACCTATAAAAATCAAACTTACTGCTGATACTTAAAGGAAACTAAACTATTACTAATTTGATTATGTGTGGGTGCTTAGTCACTCAGTCGTGTCCGACTCTTTGAGATCCTATAGATTGTAATCCGCCAGGTTCCTCCGTCCATGGGAATTCTCCAGGCAAGAATACTGGAGTGAGTAGCCATGCCCTCCTCCAGGGAATCCTTCCAATCCAGGGATCGAAGCCAGGTCTCCCACATTGAAGATGAATTCTTTACCGTCTGAGCCCCCAGGGAAGCCCAAAAATTCTGGAGTGTGTAGCCTGTCCCTTCTCCAGGGGATCTTCCTGACCCGGGAACGAATCAGATTCTCCTACGTTTCAGGTGGATTCCTTACCAGTTGAGCTACCAGGGAAGCCCAGTTTGATTATGATCTGGGCGTGATCTTGCTTGGGGAGGAAAAGCATAACAAATCAGTAACCAAGTCTATAAATTCTTCCCATCTGGAATGAAGGGCAAGATTTCAGTTACCTGTGATCAACTGTGTCCAAAACATTAAACAGAAAATTCCAGAAATAAGTGATTCATAAGTTTTAAGTCTCACTCCATTCCCGACAGTGGAATGAAATCTTGAGCCATCCCACCCAAGAGGTGAATCAGGCTTGTGTCCAGTGAATCCAGCCAGTTAGTCACTTAGTAACTATCTGGCTTATTACATAAACTGTTGGGATATTGTAGTGCTTTACACTCACATACACACACTCTATATGACTTAATAATGGCCCCAAAGCATAAGAGTAGTGATGCTGGCAAATCACATATGACAAAGAGAAACCATAAAGTGCCTCCTTTCAGTGCAAAGGTGAAAGTTCTTGCCCTAATAAGGGGGAAAAAATCACATATACTGCTGACAGCATGAGGCTGCTAACATCTAAGGTAAGAATGAATCTACTGTTCATGAAATTGTGAAGAAGGAAAGAGAAATTTATGCTAGTTTTGCTGTCACATCTGAAGCTGCAAAAGTTATGGTCATGGTGCCTGATGAATAGTTAAGGTGGAAAAGGCTTTATATTTGTATAATAAGGTATTTTGAGAAGGAGATACCACCTTGATATAACTTTCATCATAGTATGCTGTTATAATTATTCTATTGTATTATGGGTTATTGTTGTCAATCTCTGTGTCGAATTTATTCCAAGTATGTGTGTATAGGAAAAATATAGTATAATGGGCGTGCTATCAATGGTTTCAGGCATTTGCTGGAAGTCTTGGAAAATAACCACCAAGGATAAGGGAAAATTGTTGTATTTAAGATACTTAAATTAACAACTGAGAATAGGGTCTTTTTTAATAAAAGAAATCTGGAAGACGTAGGAGTGATAATTTTAAAAAGCTGCTGTAGCTCTGAGACTTTGTTTAGGTGGAAAAAATTAAAGTTTTATTCTACTTACTATGTGATAATTTGGCAGTAACTTTATCCTTACAGAGCACCACTATTTTCATTAAATAAGTATAGCCTATGCTGTCTAAAAAAAGTCAATATAATTTATTCTATGAAACACAATATTCTTATTATATAGCACTCATCAATCACTTCTTCCACATACAATGAAAACAGCTAATGTCATCAATTTTCACTTATATTACCCCGATGTGAATAACTTTGAATAACATTTTGCTAAGCAACATTAAAATACAATTGTGTCCCTGAACTGCATTCAGTTCACAGCCAATCTGTGCCAAAGGATTATGGATAATAAAGGTTGGAATACTTTGTTGCTCCACTAACTTGAGTGACCTTTCTGAGTCACTTAATTTTTGCATTTTAAAAGTTTTTCTATCTGTCCTTAGAAATGACATATAAAAGAGACCTCAAAGTTGGTTCACAACCTCAGGAGTTCCCCAGGTGAAATTAGAATCTGGCCCCCATATACAGATGCCAAAGAGAGACCAGAGAATTAGAAAAACCACTCCAGATCAGTAGGTGGCAGTTTTCATCAGCAAGGGAACTTACATACCAGGCTTGTCTTGGGCAGCTACAAGATGAGTCAAACTCTGCACCCACCTGCTAGAATCTTAAAAATTCATAGAGACCTTAGTGGGGTTCAGGCATGGATACAGTCCAGATGGTCTCAATAACACTATTTTCTCAAGGCTGCTTCCTTAGAGCGGTTCCTAGCGTGGGAACAGCGGGTGAAATGTATATCCAAGGACGGGGTAGGGGTTAGGTGTCTCTGATTGACCAGGTCCCACTTCAAGATCAGCTGGTGGTCATGTCCTCTTGGAGACCTTCTCCAACATTTAAATATCATTTAGTCCTACTCTTTCTTTTGTTCTGCAGTAGAGGAATGCCCAGGAATGACCTGTCTGAGGAATATTTCAAATCCATTTATGTGTCTAGGAAAATACTATAAAAACTAAAATGTATAATATTTATGTAAACAAATAGCCCTGCACTTGATTAATTTCATTCTCTTTAAAAGAGAAATGTAGTATTCCTTACTATCCTGAACTCAAATGTACTGGAATGTTCAATAATATATGTTTTAGTAGTATTCTTTAATAGTGTAGTTCATGTGACTTTTTATATGGGGAATCATTTCTTAAAGATTTGCAACCCATCAGATATGCTGATATTTGACATTCACTGCCAATAGTTTATTTCCTTTATCCCACAATCTCAGTCAAAAATTCAGTCCAAAAATAAGTGGAAATGAGGAGTTAATTAAATGTTTGTGAAGGGTTCATAATATATATATTTTTCTTATGCTCTATGAACAGAAATAAAGTTTCTTACTCATCTGCCTTAGATTTCTGCCTACTGACCCATAAAATAGGAACTCTTCAATATTTATTTAGCCTCAATAACATGTACTATGCTAGGTACTGCAAGAGATGCTAAAAATGAATAAGGCATGAGCCCCCAGGGAATATATCATCTCTAGGAGGAGAATAAATAAGCACTGTATTCAAATTCTAAAGTGAGAATTATAAGTGGTATATGGCAGTTAAAATAAAGAACTTGTGGGAATTTAGAGGAGGGATAGATCATACCAAGTGGGAGAAATCAGGAAATGAAGGCTAACCTCAGGAAGTGAGACCTGAATAGAATTTCCAGAGCAAGGTCCTCCAAGGAACCAGAATGCTTACAAGGATGAGGGGAAAAGAAAAAGTGGAATGATCATGTTTCAGCAACTTGAAGAGATCCAGATTCCCTGTAGTGCAAAAGAATAAGGGGGAAAAAGGAATGAACCACGTGCAACCCCTAAGCTAGTTATCCCGGCTGCTGCTTCTATTTACCATATATTGTAATATATATAATAAATTTACTCTCTTCTGAATAGAGAAAGGATCATTCCTGACTAGAAGCCAGAATCTTGAGGCTTCAGCCCTGCCCAGTTAAATAAAACTGAATATTTTGAGTTGTTGAGTCATACCTACTGGAAACAGTTTACTCTGCTCCAAGGCTTTGTCATTGAACTGAATGTACTAAATTCAAGAGTTTGGGGGTCAGACAGTCCTTGATTCAAAGTGAGTTTCAGTCACAGCTGATAATGATTTTGGCTGATAATGACAAGAGCAACTATCACTTTTCTATGCATTTTCACCTGTTTTTCCTCTAAACTAGCTCTTCTGAAAACTTTAATGTGCACAGATATCACGTGAGGTGCCTGTTACGCCAGGGGTTTGGATTCAATATGGTTGAGGTGGGGCCTGAGATTCTGCATTTCTAATGAGCTCACAGGTAATGCTGATGCTTCAAGTATGTGGACCACTTTTGAGGACGAGAGGCTTTTGCACAGCTCCCAGACAGCAGAATCAGCATTACCTGGGAACTTGATGGCTATGAAACGCGGATTATCAGACCCCCGCCCAGACCTACTTAATCAGAAACACTGGGATGAGACCCAGTACCTTGTGTTTTAACAAGCCCTCCAGGTGATGTCACTGCTTTTCGAACACACTCGAAGCACCTGGCGGGAAGGCTGGGTAAAATACTACTTACTGAAGACAGAATCTCACCCCCAGATAGTCCCCTGTAACTGGTGCGTGGTGTGGTCTGGGCAACGGGCTGTCTAAAAGCTCTACCAGGTGACTCAGATATGCAATAAAATTTGAGAATCTCACGAGGAAGGTATTTAACTTTTGGCAGGCCTTCTTTTCCGCCTATGTAAATATCCACGCTGTGGATAATATCCACGCTGATTCCTGCCTTCGCGTCCAGATTTTGCCATCTTCAGCCACACTTAGTCGGTCAAAATCCCACTTCAGTCTCCCCTCCCAGTGTCCCACATCTTCGGTCCGAGAGCCTGAGCCGCCGGGGCACCAGCCAAGCTCCACACTCCGGCGCCGCCTTGCACCTACGTGGCCCAGGGGTCCGCCCTCGGGGGCTCCCGGGACGGCGCCTGAGCGCTCGGCGCATGCGCTCGGCGCCGGCCAGGCCCCGGCCCGTGTAACGGACTCGCGCTCCCCCCACCGGAAGTGGGCGGTCGCGCTACGGGAGGAGCCGGTGGTAGCGTGGCGGCTGCGGGCTGCGGGCTGAGGGCGCGGGGCTCGTGCTTCCCTGGACGCACCATGGCAAAGGCAGCCGGCGTAGTGCGGCTGCTCCTGGGCTTCACGGCGCTCTGGCTCTCGCTGCTCGGAGCCCGGACGGCCTCCGCGTCCAAGGCGGTGACGGCCCACTTGGCCGCCAAGTGGCCCGAGACCCCGCTGCTGCTGGAGGCCAGGTGAGGGAGTGCGGGCCGGACCCTCCGCCGAGCCCGCGCCGAGGGAGGGTGCGGCGGGGCTGTGGGCGCCCCGGGACCTCGACGGCGCCTCAGACGCTCGACCCTGGAAGCATCACCTCCTCCGCTTGCTACCCTGGGCGCCGCACTTACTTGCGGCTCTTTCCCCCCCTCCATTCCTTCTTTGCCTCACCCACGGGTTTGAAAACTTTTAATTCCTTTGGATTTTCTTAGCATTTACGTGAGAGAAAAGGAAGATTGGGAGGTGGACTGTGGTGTTTAGTGCAAGCTCTTCAATTGATGGAGGCAGTTCTAGTTTTTAGGAACCGGTATTTGAAGCACCTAATTTCATACGATGGCTTTCTGTGGAGAAGAGAGCGTCCCAAAGCTCTGACTTCTTTCTGAATCTCCTCACCTGGAGTTAGTGCATAAGGTATCATGTACCTTATGTGGAGAAACAAAACTGGGAGATAATGAATTTTAATCTTAGTATTCCAGTAGTTAAAATTTGAAAGGGTTTTTTTCCTTTTTTAACCGGCATGAAGTTTTGTTTTGTTTTGTTGGCGTGAAGTTTTTAATGCCAGTTGCTTTTGTATTAATACTTCATCAGAGCCATAGCTTTTGGTTCCAGAGTCTTCATCACCTCCGTGATGTTGCATATATAAGATATGAAAACAGATTTTTTAACATTGAGCTATAATTTATGTAATTATTATTATAAATTATAATTTATGTGATTATTATGTAAGGTATTAGTTTCAGGTGTGCAACATAATGATCTGATAATGTGTTCACATGGTGTGAAATTATCACCATGGACATAAGTCCAGTTAACATCTGTCACAACACATAATTACAAAGGTTTCTTTTCTTGTGATGAGAACTTTTAAGATCTCTCTTGGCAGCTTTCCAATATGCAGTTCTTTACCTATAGTCACCATGCTTGACCGATTATTTATATTGTAGCCAAAAATTTGCACCTTTTGACCACCTTCACTCATTTCTGCCTGCTTCTGGCACCCAATCTGTTCGCTGTGTAGGAGCTCATTTCCTTACTGTGTTATGTTTGTTTTAAGATTTCATAGGGTATTTGTCTCTGACTTATTTCACTGAGCAAAATTCCCTCAGGTCTGTCCAAGTTCTCACAAATAGCAGTATTTTCTTTTTTTTATGGCTGAATAATACTCGTGTGTGTGTGTGTGTGTGTACATTTTCTGCACTCTACAACAGCCCCAAATGCTTCTCCAGTGTCCCGCACAATTTCCCTGATATGGGGAACTGAGCTCTGCTTCAGGTCCCCCACCCACCCATGTGCAGGTGCAGTCCTGCTCACTCACCTTTTTTTCCACTTCTCCTTTCATCCTGCCAAATTTTGAATGGATCTGTATATTCCTTTCTAGTGATCAGGGACGCTTGCCCATTCTCAGCTGCTGTTCTGCAAGATCTTCTGTGTCTGAAGGGGTATTCCTGATGCATCCATGGAGAGCGATGCACTCCACGTCCACCTGCTCCTCTGCCATCTTCCTGTCTCTACATTTTCTGTATTCTTTTATCATTCAGTGGATTCTTAGGTGGTTAAGATATCTTGGCCATTGTAAATAATGCTGCACTGAACATAGGACTACCTGTATTTTAGTTACAGTGTTTTTCACCCAGAATTGGAATTGCTGGATCATATGATAGTTTGTAAAAATTTTTGATGAACCTCCAAACTGTTTTCCATAGTGGCCGTACCTGTTTACATAACCAGCAAGGGTGCACATGGATTCCTTTTTCTCCACAGCCTCACCACACTTGTTATCTCTCTTTTATATTTATATAATTATATATACATATAATTTTATTTATTATTGGCTCTACTAAGTCTTTATTGCTGCATGGGCTTTTTTGTAATTCCTGGGCTCTAGAGCATGGGCTTAATAGTTGTCATGCACAGGCTTAGTTGTTCCACGGCACGTGGGGTCTTCCCAGATCAGGGATCAAACGGATGTCTCCTGCATTGGTGGATGGATTCTTTACCACTGAGCCACCAGGCAAGCCTGTCTCTTTGGGTTTTGTTGTTGTTGTTGTATATGGCCTTTATTATGTTGAGAAGAGATAGGCTGCCCACTCCAGTATCCTTGGTCTTCCATGGTGGCTTAGACTATAAAGAATCTGCCTGCAATGCGAAAGACCTGGGTTCGATCCCCTGGAGGAGGACTTGACAACCCACTCCACTTTTCTTGTCTGGAATCCCCCTGGACAGAGGAGCCTGGTAGGCTACAGTCCATGGGGTCGCAAAGGGTCGGACATGACTGAGTGACTAAGCACAGCACATGTTGAGGACATTCCCTCTATACCCATTTTGAGTTTTTAATCTTGATACTGATTTTTTTCAAATGCTGTTTTTTTTGCATCTATTGGGATGATCATGTGATTTTATCTTTAATTTGTTAATATGGTGTTTCACATTTGTATATTTGTGGGTATTAAACCATCCTTGCCTCCCTGGAATAGCTTGATTATGGTGTATGATCCTCTTAATGTATTGTATTCAATTTGCTAATATTTTATTGAAGATTTTGCATTTATGTTCAGCAGGAATGTTGACCTTTAATTTTCTTGTGTCCTTTTCTGGTTTTGGTATCAGAATAATGCTGGTCTTATAAAACAAGTTTGAGAGTGTTTTATTTTGGAAGAGTTTGAGGACTGGTATTCTTTATTTTTTAAGTTTATTTTTAATCAAAGGACAATTGCTATACAATATTGTGTTGGTTTCTGTCATACATGTTTGGTAGAATTCAACAATGAAGCTATCTGGTTCTGGACTTTTGTTTATTGGGAAGCTTTTGATTACAGATTCGGTCTCCTTGCTAATAATAAATCTGTTTGAATTTTTCTATTTCATGGGTCAGTCTTGATAAGTTGTATGTTTCTAGAAGTTTATTCATTTCTTCTAGGCTGCCCAGTTTGTTGTTGTTTAATTGTTCATAGTAGTCTCTTATGATCCATTGAATTTCTGTGGTATAGATACATCTGTATAGATGTTACAATATATAGATATTTAGATGTAGTATAGATATTACAATAAAACAGTTTTTATTAAACAAAATATTCTAGTTTAAAATATGTCCTATTCCTCTACCTTTTCCCCAGTTTCTTCCATACTTTGCATGGATATGGTCTTACAATCAGTTCCAAATCAGTCTGACTTCTTCAATTATTAGACTGACAGTTGGAGTGTTTCAATTTCTACTTGCCTCAAGAGTCTGAGAATTGGAACTCCCATAGGATGCTCTAAGGAGCATCCTTAGGTTCTTCACAGTCTAGCCCAACTCTGTTGTACCATCCCCATAACTTGTAGTGAGTTGAAGGGTGGCTTCCAAAAAGATATGTCCACATCCTAACCCCTGGAACCTGTGAATGTTACCTTATTTGGAAAAAGGCTCTTTGACAATGTAATTAAGGGTCTTAAGACATGATTCTTACGGATCTGGATGGATGTTAAGTCCATTACGCTTACAAGATACATAAGAGAAGACACAGGAAGACCAGGACATATGAATAGAGACAGAGATAGGATTGATGTAAGCCACAAGCCAAGGACCACCTTAAGCCTTCAGAACCTGGAAGGTTCTCCCCTAGAGCATTTGGAGGGAGCGTAGCCCTACCAATAACTTGATTTTAGACTTCTTCAGAACTGTGAGATAATAAGTTTCTTTTGTTTTAAGTCACCAAATTTTTGATAATTTATTACGGCAGCAATAGGAAACTGATTTGCTTTTGTTCCTTGAAGTAGGGTACTGCTGTAACAAATACCTAAAAATGTAGAATCTCCTGTTGAATCTGACAGAAGCTGGAAGAGTTTTGAGAAGCATGGTAGAAAAAGGCTAGATTACCTTGAGGAGACTGTTGGCAGAAATACAGAATACTGGAGTGGGTTGCCATGCCTTCCTTCAGGGTATCTTCCCAACCCAGGGATGGAACCCAGGTCTCCCACGTTGCATGCGGATTCTTTACCATCTGAGCCACCAGGGAAGCCCAGGAATGCTGGATAGCCCAAGAATACTGGTAGCCTATCCCTTCTCCAGGGGATCTTCCTGACCAAGGAATCAAACCGGGATCTCCTGCATTGAAGGTAGATTCTTATCAGCTGAGCTACCAGGGAAGCCCTAAGACATTTATAATTTAGTACTATTTGCTAGGGATGTTTATAGGCCGATGAGGCTAAATTGTTCAACACCTATACCATAACTTAAACATTTAAACTGTATTTATTCCACTGGTGTTGCTCTTATTGAAAATATTCTTTGAAATAACACTTATAATTACTGTCCGGCTCTTTAGTACATGTAAAATTATCCTCTACGGAAATTTTTTTTATCTATGTTAGAATAGATAAAATTCTTTTGAGAAGAAACCTTGTTATTTGGTGCTAAATATTATATAAAACAAGTAAACAAACTGGAAATACCAGAATTTTGGATTTTTTTTTGCTTTAAAAAATTTTCACCAAAGTAATAACTTACATTTTTGGAAGGTAAGATGCTGATTTAGATGGTCTCATTCTCCAGGGGATCTTCCTGACCAAGGAATCAAACCGGGATCTCCTGCATTGAAGGTAGATTCTTATCAGCTGAGCTACCAGGGAAGCCCTAAGAGATTTATAATTTAGTACTATTTGCTAGGGATGTTTATAGGCTGATGAGGCTAAATTGCTCAACACCTATACCATAACTTAAACATTTAAACTATATTTATTCCACTGGTGGTGTTCTTATTGAAAATATTTTTTGAAATAACATTTATAATTACTGTCCAGCTCTTTAGTACATGTAAAATTATCCTCTACGGAAATTTTTTTTATCTATGTTAGAATAGATAAAATTCTTTTGAGAAGAAACCTTGTTATTTGGTGCTAAATATTATATAAAACAAGTAAACAAACTGGAAATACCAGAATTTTGGATTTTTTTTTGCTTTAAAAAATTTTCACCAAAGTAATAACTTACATTTTTGGAAGGTAAGATGCTGATTTAGATGGTCTCCCAAGGCTATTTTGTCCTCTAAGAGTAATGATTGGCAAATTGCGCATGAAAGTAATTCAAGAAGAGTTCTCAAAGTGTTAGATCAGTGGTATAGTGAAGTAGTAATTGTGAGGGAATACTTTAATAAGGTGATTACTTTGAAGGATCATACTCATATGTATAAATTCTGACATATGGAAGAAGTCTTTTTCCCATAGTTGCACAATATATGAGCATTGTCAATAGTGTTTGGTCAAGTCAGTTAGGTAATAAGTGTTGTGCTCTAATTTTCTAAAGGTTTTGTACCATCACTTTCTGGTTACATCCTATTTAGTGTTTCCCATAGTTTCCTCTCCTTTTAGCCTTTTTGTTTGTTTATTTGCCTGTTTTAATGCCATTGAGTTGGACGCCATTAATAACAAGGGTTGCCTTGGAGTTACTGCTTTAAATTCATATGCCTGTCATGTTTAGTATGTTGATGAATTAATCAGTTTTCTCACCTCCTTTTCTGCCTTTATCTCAGACTCACAAGAATTAGTTAACTTTGCCTGTGTCTTGAATGTCCTCAATAATCATTAGGTTTCAGTTCAGCTCAGTTGTGTCCGACTCCTTGCGACCCCGTGAATTGCAGCATGCCAGGCCTCCCTGTCCATCACCAACTCCCGGAGTTTACTCACACTCATGCCCATTGAGTCGGTGATGCCATCCAGCCATCTCATCCTCTGTCATCCCCTTCTCCTCCTGCCCCCAATCCCTCCCAGCATCAGGGTCTTTTCCAATGAGTCAACTCTTCGCATGAGGTGGCCAAAGTATTGGAGTTTCAGCTTCAGCATCAGTCCTTCCAATGAACACCCAGGACTGATCTCCTTTAGGATGGACTGGTTGGATCTCCTTGCAGTCCAAGGGACTCTCAAGAGTCTTCTCCAACACCACAGTTCAAAAGCATCAATTTTTCGGCGCTCAGCTTTCTTCACAGTCCAACTCTCACATCCATACATGACCACTGGAAAAACCATAGCCTTGACTAGACGGACCTTTGTTGGCAAAGTAATGTCTCTGCTTTTTAATATGCTATCTAGGTTGGTCATAACTTTCCTTCCAAGGAGTAAGCGTCTTTTAATTTCATGGCTGCAATTACCATCTGAAGTGATTTTGGAGCCCCCAAAATTAAAGTCAGCCACTGTTTCCACTGTTTCCCCATCTATTTTCATGAAGTGATATGACCAGATGCCATGATCTTAGTTTTCTGAATTTTGAGCTTTAAACCAACTTTTTCACTCTCCTCCTTCGCTTTCATCAAGAGGCTTTTTAGTTCCTCTTCACTTTCTGCCATAAGGGTGGTGTCGTCTGCATATCTGAGGTTATTGATATTTCTCCCAGCAATCGTGATTCCAGCTTGTGCTTCTTCCAGCCCAGCGTTTCTCATGATGTACTCTGCATATAAGTTAAATAAGCAGGGTGACAATATACAGCCTTGATGTACTCCTTTTCCTATTTGGAACCAGTCTGTTGTTCCATGTCCAGTTCTAACTGTTGCTTCCTGACCTGCATACAGGTTTCTCAAGAGACAGAAATCATTAGGTTTACTGAGGCTAAAAAAAAGAAGGTGGGAAACAGCAGAATCTGTACCATCTGTTTGATGGTTGTATCCTTTCTAGTTTAAATAGTTAGATCTACTTGTTTTTGGTGTCTTGCACCTTGTTCCAAACAAGACTGAATAACCTTTCACTTATTTCACTATTTCCAAAAGGCTTTACATTGCTTTGGCTATTTTTTCTTTCCTATGCTTTTTGGATAAATGGCATTTTTTGGGGGGGTTTCCAGGCCAAAGACTTAATGCAGTGTACCAATTTTCTGTTAATTTTTTGATTAAGGTGTTTTCTGTTTGAAATAAGATTGTCTACACAAATAGGTAGCTAAATAAAAATAATATTGCTTTATAAAGATGTTTATAAGATCAGGTTTTATTTGTGAAAAATAGGCTATTTTTTACCTTTTTACTTTTATATAACACTGTCTGTATTGCCATTAAATTATACCTCTCAGGGCATTTCACATGCGTGCATGCTAAATCAATACAGTCATGTCCTACTCTTTGCGACCCCATGGACTGTATGTAGGCCACCAGGCCCCTCTGTCCATGAGATTTTCCGGGCAAGGATACTGTACTGGGTTGCCATTTCTTTCTCCAGGGGATCTTCCTGACCCAGGGATCAAACCCTATATTGCCATTAAGTTATACTTCTCAGGGCATTTCACATAGAAGACAAAATAAATTATCCATTTTTTACCTAATAAAGAGGAAAAACCAAAAGTAATTTGTCATATAGTCTTTTCCAGTTACGATTATATGCCTGCAGTTTAGAATGAAAACTCAGGAAGAATCATCAGTGTGTTCTCTTTTTGTATTATAGTAGATGGAAATCAGTAACTTTAGTTTTGGGAGTTTTGGTTTTTACCAGAAGTTGTAATTTGGCTCTAAAATACATTTTATAGTATCAAAATAATTTTTTAATTTCTAGCTATTAACTGATTACTTTTATTTTTAATAGTGAATTTATAGCAGAAGAAAGTAATGAAAAATTTTGGCAGTTTTTGGAAACTGTACAAGAATTAGCAATTTATAAGCAAACAGGTAGGTGTGTACATATTTCAACTTTCCAGATACATATTTTTGTGCCTCTGTTAGACAATGTTTATTCTTAATGGTAATGTTTAAGTGTATATACTTAATTTAGTAAATCTGAGTATTAACTTTGAAGATATTTTAATGGAAACTATTCAAGTCATCCATTTCCAAACATATGAGGTTTTAATAATTTATTATAAGAAAACTTATAATTAGCAGTGTTTGGCTATTACATTATAATCAAGAAATAGAAATTGTTGAATTATGGTTTTCTTTTTACCTAGACGTCTATGAAATAGTATTAGTTTGCATGTAATAATGGTGAAAGAATTTTTCTTGCCATAATACTTTTACTCCTGAACTCTTAAAGAGATTTTTAATTTTTTCCCTTAACAAGCCAGATAACCTGTATACTTTCATTTCATCATTTAGAAAATGGGGTTAATCATTCCTACTTTTTATAGTTGTGTATGTATACATATATACGTATATACATACACACACACACATATACATATGTAGTTTTAAAATGAACACATGTTTATTACTGTGTTTCTTAGGTAATATCAGATGCTGAAATTAGATTTTAGCAGTGAAGGCTGAAAGGTTAATTATTGTTATAAGGAAAGGTTAAAAAAAAAGATTAGTTTACTGTCTCTACAGAGAATAGAATAAATGATGTTAACATAAAACCCCTCAAGTGGGAATTTTCTCACCTTTTAAGCATAGAGAAAACTTCTTAGTAGGATGATTAAGTAGTTTAGGATTTTATTGCTGAGTGTAAGTGTAAGATGAACAATGGTTTTGAATGTTTTAAGTGTTCCTTTACTAGAGCTTGTTTGGCTTAAGTGGCCTTTAAGTTCAACAATTTTATGATTTTTATGAGATAGGCTTAAGATAGAACAGACATACCTTTAATATTTTAAACTGAAATTATTTCCAAAAACAAGTAATTTACTCTTTCAAAAAACTTACTAAAAAGCTTCATTATTCAGTAATCATTATTTGAATCATGAGAGACAGTATGCACTGCTTTAGATACTGAGAATACAAACATGAATAAGTGTGATCTATGTTCTCCAGACCTTGTAATATGATGGAAACAGCAGAACCGCTACTTGTACTAGTAAGTGATCACAGCTTTACTAGGGACAGATAGGTATAACATAGAAGGATATAAAGAGGTGCCTGGTCAGTATTTCAGAGAACAGGACAGTCTTTCCAGTGGTAAGTGCTGGAGTTGAGTTTGGATGACAGGATTTAGTGAAATCATAGGGAAAGGAAGACAAGCAGAGGAGACAACAAGAGTAGATTGCAAGGAGAAACTGTGACCACTTAGAAGTCTACTTGTAAAGCAATGGGAGGCTGTTGGTTTTGTATTTATCCTAGTTGAGCTATTTCAAATCCTAAAAGATGGTGCTATGAAAGTGCTGCACTCAATATGCCAGCAAATTTGGAAAACTCAGCAGTGGCCACAGGACTGGAAAAGGTCAGTTTTCATTCCAGTCCAAAGAAAGGCAATGCCAAAGAATGCTCAAACTACCACACAATTGCACTCATCTCACACACTAGCAAAGCTCAAAATTCTCCAAGCCAGACTTCAACAGGTACATGAACTGCAAACTTCCAGATGTTCAAGCTGGTTTTAAAAAGGCAGAGGAACCAGAGCTCAAATTGCCTACATCCGTTGGATTATTGAAAAAGCAAGACAGTTCCAGAAAAACATATTTCTGCCTTATTGACTATGCCAAACCCTTTGACTGTGTGGATCACCACAAACTGAAAAATCCTGAAAGAGATGGGAATGCCAGACCACCTGACCTGCCTCTTGAGAAATCTGTATGCAGGTCAGGAAGCAACAGTTAGAACTGGACATGGAACAACAGACTGGTTCCAAATAGGAAAAGGAGTACGTCAAGGCTGTATATTGTCACCCTGCTTATTTAACTTATATGCAGAGTACATCATGAGAAATGCTGGGCTGGATGAAGCACAAGCTGGAATCAAGATTGCCAGGAGAAATATCAATAACCTCAGATATGCAGATGACACCACCCTTATGACAGAAAGCGAAGAACTAAAGAGCCTTTTGGATGAAAGTGAAAGTGGAGAGTGAAAAATTTGGCTTAAAACTCAACATTCAGAAAACTAAGATTATGGCATCTGGTCCCATCATTTCATAGATGGGGAAACAGTGACCAACTTTATTTTTTGGGGCTCCAGAATCGCTGCAGATGGTGACTGCAGCCATGCAAGCCATGTAAGTCACCAGCTTACTCCTTGGAAGAAAGGTTATGTCCAACCTAGATAGCATATTAAAAAGCAGTGACATTACTTTGCCAACAAAGGTCCATCTAGTCAAGGCTATGGTTTTTCCAGTAGTCATGTATGGATGTGAGAGTTGGACGGTGAAGAAAGCTGAGTGCCAAAAATTGATGCTTTTGAACTGTGGTGTTGGAGAAGACCTTGAGAGTCCCTTGGACTGCAAGGAGATCCAACCAGTCCATCTTAAAGGGAATCAGTCCTGAATATTCATTGGAAGGACTGATGCTGAAGCTGAAACTCCAATACTTTGGCTACCTGATGCGAAGAACTGACTCATTTGAAAAATCCGTGATGCTGGGAAAGATTGAAGGCAGGAGGAGAAGGGGACGACAGAGGATGAGATGGCTGGATGGCATCACCAACTCAATGGACATGAATTTGGGTAGACTTTGCGAGTTGGTGATGGACAGGGAGGCTTGGCATGCTGCGATTCATGGGGTCGCAAAGAGTCCGACATGACTGAGTGTCTGATTTTAGTTTTGCTATTTGATTTTTTTTTAAAGCTAAATTAATATATCAAGTTTTCATGATAGTTTAAAAAAAAACACCACCAGATTTTCTCACTTTCACTTAAAATCCTGAGTGTCCCTATCTCACATTTGTTCTTAGTGCATGTTTATGGACTTCATTGGTGACATTTTCTACTGGAGAAGCTGTCTTCAAAATTACTTCTATAAATTTTGAAATCTTTAAGTCGCTTAGGTTTATTAGCATATTTTATACCTAAATGAAACATGTCTGGACAGACTGGAGGCAGGTCATTAACAAGTTGGAATATAAGCTCAGGAATACCTAAACTCAAACATAAGAGATGTATATATTTCAAGGTTGAACAGCTAAAATGAATTGCATTAAGGAAAAACAAACAAACATAGGAGATGTATATATTTCAAGGTTGAATAGCTAAAATGAATTGTATTAAGAATTACTAACACAAAAATATAATTCTGTTGAAGTTGTTCATAATGGTGAGAGTCAAATGCATATTGCTGCCTCATTGCTGATCTTGTTAGGCATAGGAAGAAATGGTATATATGAGGAATTAAATATGTTAAAAACCATCAGACTTCACTGAATTTGTTTTCAAGACATTATCCTAGAGGATACATTAAAACCCTTAGTTACTCATAACTTTCTAGGCTGTTGAATCTCCATGAGGCCTTTTCAGTACTCTTCACTGAAGAATAATTTCAGTGATACACTTACCTAGGACAAATTGCAAATGTTGAACATTAACTTTTTGAATTCAGGTGCTAGTTTTCTGCTATTTCATGAGGACAGTTTACATTATGTACCAGCACTTTAAGATTTTTTAAACATTGAATTACCTGTTTTTAAATGATTTTGTGTGGTTCTGCCACAGAGTTATGTATTTATTGATGTCTCAAGATAATTAGCTAACCTGTGTTGTTTTGTGTGGTGAATTAGAAATGTCAGCCAAGGTTTATCTGACTCCAGAGTCTATTTTCATTTTTCCATGTTCTCAGCATATAAAAATTCTCAGAGTCCATAAAGATTTTAATAGTTTCTACACAAGTAAAGTTGTCTATATATTTTAAAGGAAAGATTTTTAGAAAAGGTTATGACATCTCTAGCTTAGTTACTTATAACTGAGAACCAGGTTTGGGGTAGGAAAATGTTTGCTGTCTGGATGTGCCACATTTGAAATGCTTGTGGAATATCCAAGTGAGGATATCCAGTAAGCTGATATGAGTGAGAGATTTAGGTTAAAAATTCTAAGCTAAAAGGTAAGATTTGGAAGTTAGCAACACCAAGAAGGTAATGGCAGTTATAGGGATAAAGGATGGAATGAGAAGAAAATAGATTAAAAAAAATCAGTGTTTAAGAGATAACCAGAGAAGAACATGAGACAGAGTCTAAGGAGTACCAGTGGAGGTAGGCAAAAACCTAGAAAATGTGTTATCATGAAAGCCATGTTGAGTGGTAAATGATAGATGTTATCAAATACTAAAGATGAACCAAGTAATATAAATATTAACCTTTATCAACAGAAAAATTAGTAGTGAGTTTGAGAGCAATTTTACCGATATAGTATTGAAAAACTATAGTAAGTTGAGGAGTTGAGATAAAGTATTATTAAATTTTCCAGGATTGACTATGAGACAAATAAGATGAGCCAGTACCTAACCCATCAAGTGCTGCTGTGGCTTTTTTTTTTTAAATGAGTGATTTATGTATATTAAATGTCAATATGTAAAAAACTGAGTGAAAAGTGAAACTAAAGATGAAAGATATTGAAAGGGCAAAATCATTCTTGGCAGGTTAGTTGGTGAGCAAGGATTTAGTTGTTTTTAAACATTACCTAAAATATAAAATAGTCCAATGCATTCATGATTGTCTTGCAAGTTAAACCTAAAATACATGTTTACTTTCTGTAAACCCCTGAATCCTACATCTTTTACTACATTAGAGATAGTTTGGTGGCTCAGACAGTGAAGAATCTGCCTGCAATGCAGGAGACGTGGTTTCAATCCCTGAGTCAGGAAGATCCCCTGGAGGAAGGCATGGCTACCCACCCCAGTATTCTTGCTTGGAGAATCCCGTAGACAGAGGAGGTTAGCAGTTTACAGTCCATGGGGTCACAGAGAGTCAGACAGGACTGAGCAATTAACAATGACCTTGACAAATTTTGATGTCTCTGCCTGGTACTACTCAGATTTGTTTCTGTTGACTCAGTTCTCTATTTTCATGTAAAACCAATCCATTTTGACTGATGTAGTCTTATTTTTGTTATGTGATTAAATTTTGACTATGTTACTGACCCTGTAGCTATTAGGATTTTTTAAGATCCATTTTTAAGATAATACCTCCTCTTTAGTTGCTTTTGTGTTGCTTTTACTACCAAAGCATATCTTGCATTATTTTTTTGACTGTTGGAGGGAAACTCAGTATAACTTCCTGAAAAATCACCTGTAGTTTGTTGAAGTAGAAGTGAATGAGCACACTGAGTCTCATATAATGACTCTTTGAAATACAGGGTTAGGAAAGTATTATTGGCCTTAATGAAAAGGTCTATTCACTTCTTAGATATTACTTCCATAAATGTATTAAATGTCTATTTTGTGTGACAAGAGTAGAAAGGTATAATTGAAAGGCTGGAAAAGATTCCTGCCTCAACAGCTTAGCTTAATGGGAAGGACAACATTAAATAAATAATTACACACATAATTTTTAATTGCAGTTTAAGAATTGGTCTAGAGATGGTGTAGAGTCCTATGCTGTTCTTAGTCTCCTCTTAAATTTTAAGTAGGGCCTATATTTTATCCATGTGTTATAACTCCTCAACCTGGGAGTGAATGTTGTTGTCTTCCACTTAGATTTTAGTGGCAAGATTATTTTAATCTGGACTTGTATTGACTTCCTGGACTTTACTGGAAGGCACAAATGAAGTAAATAATAAAATGGAGATCTTGATTTTCCCTTTTGCTGTAACACCTTCTATTCCAAACTTAAAATATGACAGTAGTTTAGTTAGCTATACACTGAGAGATGTGCTAATGTGTTAAAATACGAAACACTAACATCCTTTTCTTTTGAATTCTTTTTACAGAATCAGATTATTCTTACAACAACTTAATCCTGAAGAAAGCTGGACAATTTTTGGACAATTTACATATCAATCTCTTAAAGTTTGCTTTCTCTATAAGGGCATACTCTCCAACTATACAGATGTTTCAACAAGTATGTAAAAATACCCAGACTGTATTTGACAAAGAAGCATACTAGAAACATAAATAAATTTCTTAATGTGAATATCTTTAGCTAAGAAAGATCTACAGATTTATTATACCTGGTTCCATAGCCTATCATTGATTATATTTTCATTGTTACCATTGATTATAATATAATTAAATATTTCATGTAATTTTATAGTTATTTGATATATACAAAAAGGCAAAATGGTTGTCTGAGGAGGCCTTACAAATAGCTGTGTAAATAAGAGAAGCGAAAGGCAAAGGAGAAAAGGAAAGATATATCCATTTCAATGTAGAGTTCCAAAGAACAGCAAAGAAAGATAAGAAAGCGTTCCTCAGTGATCAGTGCAAAGAAATAGAGGAAAACAATAGAATGGGAAAGACCAGAGATCTCTTCAAGAAAATTAGAGATTCCAAGGGAACTTTCCATGCAAAGATGGGCACGATAAAAGATAGAAGTGGTATGGACCTAACAGAAGCAGAAGATATTAAGAAGAAGTGGCAAGAATACACAAAGAACTATACAAAAGGTTCTTCACCACCCAGATAACCACGATGATGTGCTCACTCACCTAGAACCAGACATCCTAGAATGTGAAGTCAAGTGGGCCTTAGGAAGCATCACTACGAACAAAGCTAGTGGAGATAATGGAATTCCAATTGAGCTATTTCAAATCCTAAAACATGATGTTGTGAAAGTGTTGCACTCAATATGCCAGCAAATTTGGAAAACTCAGCAGTGGCCGCAGGACTGGAAAAGATCAGTTTTCATTCCGATCCCAAAGAAAGGCAATGCCAAAGAATGCTCTAACTACCGCACAATTGCACTCATCTTACACACTAGCAAAGTAATGCCCAAAATTCTCCAAGTCAGACTTCAACAGTACATGAACCGTGAACTTCCAGATATTCAAGCTAAATTTAGAAAAGGCAGAGGAACCGCAATCAAATTCCCAAAATCCGCTGGATCATTGAAAAAGCAAGACAGTTCCAGAAAAACATCTATTTCTGCTTTATTGACTGTGCCAAAGCCTTTGACTGTGTGGATCACAATANATTGATGCTTTTGAACCGTGGTGTTGGAGAAGACTCTTTAGAGTCCCTTGGACTGCAAGGAGATCCAACCAGTCCATCCTAAAGGAAATTAGTCCTGCATATTTATTGGAAGGATTGATGCTGAGCTGAAACTCCAATACTTTGGCCACCTGATATGAAGAACTGACTCTTGGAAAAGACCCTGATGCTGGAAAAGATTGAAGGCTGGAGGAGAAGGGGATGACAGGATAAAGTAGTTGGATAGCATCACCGACTCAATGGACATGAGTTTGAGTAATCTCCAGGAGTTGGTGATGGACAGGGAAGCCTGGTGTGCTGCAGTCCATGGGGTTGCAAAAAGTTGGACACAACTGAGCAGCTGAACTGAACTGAGATAAGGAAATAATGAGGACAGATCACCATTGACATTAACTATAAAGAATATTTTAGTTTAATGGTACATTTTCAATAATTTCAAAGTATATTTTCCTACTATAAAGTTGATTTTGTTAAATTGTTTGATTCTGCCTGTGTATAGATACTTTTACTTTAATTAGAGCAATAACTTAATAGTAGTTGATAAGCTGTTTTAATCAAAGTAATGTGTGAGTTTTAAAAATGATATTGTAATTACCAGCTACTGTTGCTAAGTGTCATCTTTGAAATCTTAGATTGCAGCTGATGAGCCCCCACCAGATGGCTGCGCTGCATTTGTGGTTATCCATAAGAAACACACCTGTAAAATTAATGAGATTAAAAAGCTGCTGAAGAAGGCTACTTCAAGGTAAATTAATGATAGCCTGTAGTAAAAGGAGCAGTTTATAAAGAGAGATGAGGGTTGAAATAGAAATTTCTTGCAATAAAAATTGTAATATTCTAAGGCTGTGTTTAAAAGAATGTGCTCTGAATATTTATCTGAGTCTTAAGTCCTTCTCTAAAATATATAAGTACTTTCAATATTTTGTCTTGATTAGATTTTGATTTTAGAATACCAAAATACCATAAAACACATGAGAGAGATATTTTATATACATAAGTTATTTTTTTCAAATACAGACAGACCTCAAAGATATTGTGGCTTCAGTTCCACCTCAATAAAGTGAATACTGCAGTAATTCACATGAAAAGTTTTGGTATCCCGGTGCATATGAAAGTTACGTCTACACTAAACCGTAGTCTGTTGAGTGTACAAATGACATTTTGTCTAAAAAATGTACATCCCTTAATTTAAAAACACTTTATTGCTAAAAATTGCTAACCATCTGAGCCTTCAGTGAGTCTTAATCTTTTTGCTGGAGGAGAGTGTGAAATACTGCGAGCATTAGAGAATTACAAAAATGTGACACAGACAGGGAGTGAGCAAGTACTGTTGGAAGAATGGTACCATAGACTCGTTCAACACAGTTGCCACAAACCTTCAGTTATTAATGCAGTTGTCTGTGAAGTGCAATAAATGAAGCAAAAAGCCCAATAAAAAGAGATATGCCTGTAAACATACAAAACTGTGGATTTATCTAGACTATATCTCTTTAAATATAAATTAAATGTGTACCTTGGAAATTAAAAATTAATAACAAAAATACAGAATTACCTTTTTATAAACACATTATTCAAAACATTTTTCTTCTTCCAAGCATTTAATGCAAATTAATATGAGAAGTAAGAAGGAGATTATTAACTTAGTAGTGATTTTTACAGAGTAGTACCTACCAGGAGGTGTTTTACTGGCTGATTGTTTATACTTTAAACAGTATTAAAGTTGTTTCTCTAATTTTGAAAGAGTTATTTATATATTAGACAGTAATATATATTTAGTAATTCATATTAGTACTTATTTGTTGGACTCTTTCAAATATTTTCTTATATTTCATATTAATTTTAATATTTGGAAACTTTTATGTAGCCTGATTTTTCCTTTATGTGTGTATGTTTTTATACTGAGACTGTTTTTTCCAAACCTGAGTAAGTAAGAGATTTTACTAATATTTTCCAGTAGCTTTCTTAAAGTTTTTATTTTACCTTAAACTTTTAAATCTATGTATAATTTTATTTTCATAGGAAGGCAAGGATCCAGTCAGATCTTTCCCGTCTTCAGGTGCTAGTCAGTTATTATATTCATCGTATTTATACTGTGATCCATTTTGTAACTATTTGTTTTATACTATTATGTTTCTTGTAACAGTGCTATGTTGTTAGTATTTATTGCTTTAATAATTTATTCCAGTGTCTCACAGGACAATTTCCTCTTCATGGCTGCTTTTTTCTCCCCCTCCAAAAGTTCTTAGCTCTGCACTCATTGATCCTTTCAAACTAACATTAGAGTCCTTTTTCTCCTGTCAAACTGACTCCCTAAAAAACCTGGGTAGAGTTTTAATTAGAATTATGTTAAAGCTATTAGTTCATTTAACAAATTTAAATGTTTGCTATATCAAATCTCAGAAGACATCATATGTCTTCTGTTCACTCCTTCTTTTAAAACTTTGAAGTTTTATACTCTTCTCTGATTTTAGAATCAGAAATAATTGTTTTATTTTATGAACTGTTTTTCTCCTATTAAGATGAATTCAAAGTTTTTCTCTTTGGACATATTGTGTCATATATTTTAAACTATTACACCTTCTTTGTGTTGCTAGGGAAAACTATTTCTTAATGGTGTGATATTAATTTTTGTTGATTGCTTATGCTTTTATTAAGACTCGTTTTTCTACTTTAATGAGATTAGCTGTTATTTAAACTGTTTATGCCAATTTTAATGGTATTCTAACTTCATATAGTGAATTAGGCAACCATGTTATTCTGTAAGAGTTCATTTAGCATAGGAATTATATATTCCTCTAAAGCATTAATAGACTGACTCCAAAATTATCAGCCCTAGTGTGTTTTTTTCTTTTCCTAGTGCATTTTTAAAAGGGAATTTTGACAACTTTTAATTTATAATTGCTATTGATTTCTGACTTCTGATGTCTGATGTTTCAATTTTCTTATGGAAACTAATATTAAATTAAATTTAAGTATTTAATATTTAGATATTAAATCTAAATTAATTTAAGATTTAACACAAAGTTAACATCACATTGTTAGGAGAGGCACCCTGCCATGGACGTGTGAATTCCTGCATATTCTTGCTGGGTCTGACAAGTAAAAAAAGGCAAGATCTGGACTGCTTTTTACTTGAACCATTTTTCATGGTTGTGTTTGTAGTGAGCAACCTTGAGGAATTACATAATTCCTAATTTTGAAAAGAAATTTCAAAATTTTGCCTTTGGAAAAAGAGTGGGCTTGTTAAAACACGGTGATTTCCCAGGTACAGTGTTCCTTGTACACCCGCTGTTTGTGTAGTATCCATTTGGGTCCATATTTTGTTACACACACTCTGTTGTGGAACTTAGGGACCAGGTGTAATGCTCATTCTGCTTGCTATGCCCTGAGCGATAAAGTTCTTTGTCTTTGACACAAGAGTCTCATGTCTTCTGCCAGACTTGAGGCATGACAGAAGCCCAACTTATTACTTTGTAAGTAGGCTGAAACCAAGCCATAGCCCTTTTACAGTTCTTGACAGCTTTAGAAACAAGGGTGAGATGTTGACAGACAACGTGGCTTTCTGGGAGAGGAAGGACAAGGGCCCCCTGGGTTGGGGAAACAAAAGCTCAACACTTGAATTTCTTTCCTGCTGCTCCCCTCTCTCTCCCCCTGCTGTTCTTCACTCCCTGTGCATCTGGCTGGGTGGTAGCAGTCTTCTGATACCTGCTACTGTAGCTCCTCATACGGTGTTAGGTCTTTGTTACTTCAGGAAAAGGCACCCAGACTCAACTGATGGGTTTGGAAGATTTGCATAACGGGAAAGGGAATTAAAATGATCTCTAGGCCAATTCGGGCTTCCCAGGTGGTGCTGTGGTAAAGAACCTGCCTGCCAGTGCAAGAGATGTAAGAGACGCAGGTTCAGTCCCTGAGTCGGAAAGATCCTCTGGAGAAGAACAACCCACTCCAGTATTCTTGCCTGGAGAATCCCATGGACGAAGGAGCCTGGCAGGCTATGGTCCATGAGGTTGCAAAGAGTCGGAGACGACTGAAGCGACTTAGCATGCACACTAGGCCAATTCAGTGTACTTTTATTTTTACTGTTTTGGTTCCCACATCTGAATCTGTAACTGGTATTGATATTGTACATGTATATGCTTTTAGTGCTGTGAATGCTCGTGAAGTCTAAAAGGAGACGCTGTCATTGGGAGAGGTGGTCCCAACAGAAACGACATAGAATCCCAGGAGGGAGAGGAGGAAATCACAACTTCAGTTACAGACCGACTGGCTGCCTGAGTGCGCAGGAAGGCAGTTTCCGAGATCAACAGCACCACCTGCCTGACTCAGCCATCAAGTACACCCCTTTTTAAAAGGAAAACCACTGCTAAGCTTTAGCTGAAACTGAACTCCTGACTCAGGAAGCCTTGTAACTCTACTATCTGATGTTCACATTTTGGCCTAAGTCAACTAGGATTCAATGACTAATAGGGTGGAAGAGACCCAGCAATTGTCTCTGGTCAAGTGGAAATAGTATATTCAAAAGCACTGTCACTTTGACCTTTTGTGATCTTAGGGTTACATGGTAAAGGGGCAGCAGTTCTCCTTTGGGACAAAGCACATGCCCTAGTCCCCTACGTGAAGTAAAATCTCTGACTTAGTGGGACCCCCAGTTCAGTTACTCCCTTAAGGCTTTGCATCAAGTTATTGATACATTCAGCTCAGTTCGAAGTTGATGGTGTCTGAGGGTTTCTGCTGCTGTTCATCCAGGCTCTGTGTGTGCTAAGTTGTGTCAGTCATGTCTTACTCTGCGACCGCCAGGCTCCTCTGTGCATGGGATTCTCCAGGCAAGAATACATGAAGCCATGCCCTCTTCCAGGGCATCTTCCTGACCCAGGGATCGAACCTGCTTCTCTTATGTATCTTCCTGACCCAGGGATTGAACCTGCATCTCTTATGTCTCCTGCATTGGGAGGCAAGTTCTTTACCACTGATGCCACCTGTGAAGCCCTCATCCAGGGTGCATCTATGTAAAGCCAAAAGCAGATGTGGTCACTCTCTGTGGGCAGAATTCAAGGCAGTTCTCTTATCTCTGAAGAATCCTTGACCCTTAAAAAACTTGCTACACTTTTACTGACCCTGGGCTGTTGCCAGTGGCCTACCTATCTGGTCTGCCACTTGGAAGACGACCAACTGGCAGATGAGAGGCACCACTCTTTGGTTTCATGATTTATTTCTCATATGCTCTTTACTTCCAGTTCTTGTTTGTGTTTTGTTTTCATTTTAGGCCCAGACCCTATCTGTTTAAAGGAGATCACAGATTTCCTACAGACAAAGAGAATTTACCAGTGATTATTCTCTATGCAGAAATGGGTACAAGAGCGTTTCGTAAATTTCACACAGTGTTGTCTGAAAAAGCTCAAAATGGGGAAATTCTTTATGTTCTTCGGCATTACATTCAGGTACATGCTTGCTTTATTCAAGATTACTTTGGCTATAAAAACTATTTTTTATAACTACTTTTTATAATTTCTCTACTAGATTTTACATAATAACTTCTAGAATACTTATATCTGATAACACAGCTATCAAATGTGAATTTTATGTGGAAAAATATATTGGGATTCTGTGTCTTTTCTGGAAAGTATCCTGTTTATGTTTCTTTCCCTTATCATATATATATCTGGAACAGATTTACAACTTGGATAAAAGACAAAACCATACAACAGTAGGATGCATAATATTTGGTAGGACTAATAAACATAGTTATTTTTAATGAAAATGTATTACAATGAGGAAATCTAACTTGACCTATTGATAGTATATATTAGTTCATTATGCTAAGCGTTGTATAGGAATGCTCTCAAACCAATCTGTTTGAAAGGCTGCTTACTTATTCAAGTTTCAGATCAAATGTGTTGTATTATCCCCCACTCTCCTCACTCTCACTGCTATGACACTCTACCACATTATTCTATTTTTAATGACTTCATGGAACTTATTACTATGCTACCTCAAATTTTATTTAATACCTCCACCCCCACCAACACACACACACAACCAAACTCTCACCTCACACACTAAGATGGTCCTTAGAAGGACTTTTCTTTTTTACTTCTATATTACAAACATGGAAAGAGTGTTTTAATTTGCACTTCCCAAAATATTCATGATAAGTATTAATATACAGTTCCCCTGTATCCATGGTTCAGAATCTGCAGATTCGATCAACCAAGGATTATGTAATAGTGTAGTTTACTATTGGGAAAAAAATCTGTGTATAATTAGATCATTGTAGTCTGCACAGTTCAAACCTATTTTGTTCAAAGGTTTGATTTGATTTGATATCAAATCATTATATTTATTGTACACTGTAAACTAATACAATGTTATATGTCAATTATATCAGAAAAGGAATGTGAGATTACAGTATTTACAGTATATGTTTATCTTTTTTAATGAAGTGCCCAAGTGATTTTAATATGCTCCTGCTGTTGTGGCATTTTCATCTATTAAGAATCAGTGTCCCAAAAAAAAAAAAAAAAAAAAAAACAAAACTATAAAACAGAAGCAATACTGTAACAAATTCAATAGATGCTTTAAAAAAATGGTCCACATCANTCTGGGTACTTTTGTAGCATCAAATTATAACCTTCTATTTAATTAATTACATATTGTGCATCCAAAATAATTATACTGTAAATCTAGTCAACATGTAATTCTAATAAAAACAGACTTATTCACACTACCTTTTGAATAGATGCTTTTTTTGTAGGGAAAGAAGAAATAGGATGAAGAAGAAAGATTCCTCTCAACAGTTGATTTAGCTTGTGAGAATTTTTGGTTTGCAAATTCAAAGTTATTAAGCTACAATTCATATTTTTATATTCATGCATTTTCAAATAGAGAAAGTAAATATGAAATTAATGAACATTTATCTTTATTACTGAGGAGCTAATACTGTTCCAGAACTGATGATGGAAATTGGTTATGTGAAATTGCATTTCTTTCATGAACTATTAACAAGATATGTGAATTTAAAGCTTAGCCACCAACTAATTGTCTTTTGAGTGGACAGTCAAAATGTATTTTTAAATTGAGCTGTATGAAATTAAAAACTCTCTAAAAGACTTCAAACTTTGCCAGATTACTATAATTATAAACAACCCAGTTTTCTCATGCTATCTTTTATTGTAGCATCTGCCTGAGAAATTAGCAAATTAAAATTTTAGTGGGGCAGCAATGTTAAACACTTTATGCATATCTGAAGCTAAGTCTTACATCATCTTATTTGAAAATAGGACAGTCCAGGAATAGTCACTCAGGTTGTATACTTACTTATTTTTAAGGCTTGGGGGAAGTTTAGGGAGGAAAGAAGAGAGTGAAAAGAGTAGATACTGTTAAGATTTCCTTTCCATTTGGTGTCTTCCTCTTCCTCTGTCAATGTGTAGGATTGCAAAACTGCCCTCACGCAAACCTTAGTTAAGCCAAGGCATAACATCTTCACAGGAGTTTGCTAAGTACTAGGTTAAACAGTTTTTCTAACCCATGGAAGAATATGCCAAATGGTAATGATTATAGCACAACTGATAAGAATTCAGTCTAGAAGCCAGAAAGAACCCTAGACATCTTCTAAAGTTTACATGTATTCATCCAGGTTGCTTACTTTTTAAAAAAAATATGATGACTTCTCTTTCTTCATACAGTGACTTCTAGAAGTACATTTTATGTTTACCCATAATATATAAGGTAAAAGAAAGTAAGATACCAAATTCTGATCACAAATACTTCAGACAACTCAGTTTTAGGCAAATTGTGACCTCTCACTGCAAGGATAGGTGCTAACATGTGGCATTTGGTATATTTTAGTCATCGAGAAACATGAAGAAAGAACTGAATAGGTTGCTCAAGGCACTGAGTTTTTTTGTTTCCTTTGCCTCTACTTTCCAGTATTTGCTTTTGGGGACACTCTAGTTGCCCTCCATCCAGACAACTAGCAAATGAAAGCACTTACTGGTTTAGGAAATGTTGTGTAGTTCTCAAGAGTACAGTTTTGTTGAAACTGACTTGTATTGGATCCTCTGTTAATTAACTCATGATAAAGATGGCAAAATTATGGTATAACAGAAAAAGATCAGATACTTTTTTCATTGTAAAAGAGTAATTAAAACATTCGTGTCATGACAAAGGTTTTAGAAAGTAAAGAAGTAGTCATCAACAAGTTTCTAGTTCCTTGATAGACTGTCTCTAGAGAGAATATAAATATCCCCTGAATACAAGTATTTCACAGTGATTTAAAACTTCAGTATTAATGGTTTACCCTCATGTCCTAACACACATCATTCTGAATTCAAAAGCAGGTGTTTGACAAAATATTTTCTCTCTTTTTGAAAAAAAAAAATGTGTTTGAACAGAAACCATCCTCACAGAAAATGTACTTATCTGGCTATGGTGTGGAGCTAGCGATTAAGAGTACAGAATACAAAGCATTGGATGATACTCAAGTCAAAAGTAAGTTTATTCTCTATATTTGAGTAAAAAAATTTGGAGGGTTATGTACTTCTGTTTAATCCTACACACGTTAATTTGAGGCTGGAGACAATTTAATTTTAAACTAACATGTATTTCATGTTGTTATGCTCTCAGAAATTTCAAAAATTGGAAGTAGCATATTATTTTGGTTATATTCAATGGCTTCCCAGTCATTTTCAGCAACATATAAAAATTGATACTACATGTAGGATGTGTAGAAGAAATAGGTGAGGCTGCTTGTGACTATGAGGGGGCTCACCCAGTTCAGACTGGCCTGTGATGTACCTAATCATCCCCTGGGGGCAAAGATGGTGGATCTAAAGGGGTTGTGTCATAGTAAACCTGAAACTCATTGGTAGCACTGCCTTACAAAGCTTGGTCTGAAGTATTTATTTTTAATAAAGTTAGTTTTGTGTTTTTATTTTGAAATGGAATGGGAAAGTCCTGTGAATATTTGGTTAGATTGATTAGATCTGCAATCTACCAATCCAGTATCTGTGTACTGAATGCATGCTCTAAATGAAAGAATCTGGAGACCTAAAAACAATAAAGAACTTTTCAGATTCTTATGGAAATCTTTCATTACCTGGCTCATTGGAAATTTATTTATACCTGATTCTTGGTTAAGCATTTCCAGTTCATTCTGTTACATGCTCTCTGATGCTGCTTCTGCTTCAGCTTTGTTTTTCTGTTCAAGATCCGGCCCTGGAGGCCTTGCTCTGATTATAGCTTAGCTCTAGTCCCTCCTACTGAGTGTGCTACAGATCAACATCTGTGTTATTGCAATTGAAATCCTGCTGGTTACTGAAAAAGTGTAGCAGAAATACTAATGCCCAGATTTTTTATATTTCCGTATAGCTGGTATATTGCTCTACAGTGCTTTATAATTTAGTATCTCGTTTAGTGCTTCCCTGTGGTAAAGAATCTGTCTGACAGAACAGGAGACGTAAGAGACTTGGGTTCAATCCCTGGGTCAGGAAGATACCCTGGACGAGAGCATGACAATCCGCTCCAGTACTCTTGACTGGAGAATCCCATGGACAGGGGAGCCTGGCAGCCTGCAGTCCATAGGATTGCAAAGAGTGATTTAACACGCACATGCACACACACTCTTATTTAACAGTCATGGTAGTAGCATAGGCATTTTCTAACTGTCCTTGGGCTTGTAGAAGTTTCTTTAAAAAGTCATGTGATTACATATATTACCTATATTACAAACTGCAGGTTAACTTTTATCATATATTTGGAATATATCTTCTCTCCATTCTACTTGCCACTCCTTTAATTCACTTCTTTTTTTCCCCTCTGCTTATGACTATCAGGCTTCCAACTGACCTTTTCTTCAGGACCCTTAATCCTCTCATCTCCAAAAGAGAATAATCCATCTGTTCTCCACAGTACTTTCTGATTGAACTTCCTGTGTTCAATCAGAACTTCTGACTTTGTGATTCTACCAGTTGAAAACCCTTAGTTACCTAAATAACCAAGTAACCCTAGTGGTTCCTTTCTGCCTTCTCACTTTCTCTCAGACCTCTGATTTGTACCCTGTGGTCCTGTAACACTGCACTACTATACAGAACAATTTTCTGTTTCCTGGATGGGTCCATGTATTGCTCTGTGCCAAGCCTTTATGACCTCTGGAGTACTTTCATCCCTTAACATATGCTGTTCCTCTGCCTGAAACATTCTTTCCACCTCTTGTCTGAGGTCTACTCATCTTTTAAGATTTATATGTCTCAGTCAGTACCTCTGAGATGCTGCCTATGTTCCTGCTGTCAGAGGAGGCTTTTTCGATTTTCTGTATTCCATATATTTTGTGCTTCCTTTTGGAAAAGTTTTAAACAGTCTGTTAAAGCTGTCTATTTGTCTCTCTCATTTTCAACTCAGTAAGGTTTGTGTCTTTTACATCTCTCCTCCTGGTGTCTATCTGGCAGGCAGTGGGCATTATAGAAGGCAGTCAGTAAATGTTTACCTGATTAAAGCATTCCAGGGTTTTTAGTTGTAGTCTTAGAAATCCAGACTCTCAGACAAGTAAGAAAGGAGAAGTGCACTTTATGCACTCTGATGGAGCATAGCCCCTTGCTGTAAAAGGTCACATATTCTTAGAACCTGAAGTACCCTCAAACATGCCCTTACCACACTGTATACTATAAAACTTTGGTAAGTAAAGGAGAGGGGAAGGGAAATGAATATAAAATATATCTTTATCCTTTGAGGCCATGAGTTTTGGTGTCTGTCTAAAGGTTTCTTGATTATGTCTGAAGGTGTCAGAAATATGTGAGAACTCCTGTATATTTTAGGGTTTAGATTTCTTGCTGGTATAAGAGGTAAGCCCAGGGTTTCTTGCAGACTTCTTGGTTTATCAGTTCAGTCTAGTTCAGTTGCTCATTAGAGACTGACTCTTTGCGACCCCATGGACTGCAGCACACCAAGCTTCTCTTGTCTATCACCAGCTCCTGGAGTTTACTCACACTCATGTCCATTGAGTCAGTGATGCTATCCAACCATCTTATCCTCTGTCATCCTTTTCTCATCCTGCCTTAAATCTTTCCCAGCGTCAGGGTCTTTTCCAGTGAGTGAGTTCTTCACATCAGGCGGCCAAAGTATTGGAGTTTCAGCATCAGTTCTTCCAATGAGTAGTCAGTACTGATTTCCTTTAAGATGGACTGATTGGATCTCCTTGCAGTCCACGGGACTCTCAAGAGTCTTTTCCAACACAACAGTTCAAAAGCATCAATTCTTCAGAGCTCAGCTTTCTTTATAGTCCAACTCTTATATCCATGCATGACTACTGGAAAAACCATAGCTTTGACTAGATGGACCTTTGTTGGCAAAGTAATGCCTCTGCTTTTTAATATGCTGTCTAGGTTGGTCATAACTTTTCTTCCAAGGAGCAAGCATCTTTTAATTTCATGGCTGCAGTCACCATCTGCAGTGATTTTGGAGTCCAAGAAAATAAAGTCTGTCACTTTACACTGTATCCCAAACTATTTGCCATGAAGTTATGGGACCAGACCATGATCTTAGTTTTCTTACTGTTGAGTTTTAAGCCAACTTTTTCACTCTCCTCTTTCACTTTCATCAAGAGGCTCTTTAGTTCTTCTCTTTCTGCCATAGGATGGTGTCGTCTGCATATCAGAGGTTATTGATATTTCTCTGGGAAATCTTGATTCCAGCTTGTGCTTCATCCAGCCCAGCATTTCTCATGGTGTACTCTGCATATAAGTTAAGCAAGCAGGGTGACAATATACAGCCTTGACGT